AATAGCAAAAAAAAAAAAAAATCTTTTTCTCATGGGAGTTGTGAACATCTCGACTGTGGCTGCCTCTGTAGTTCATCTGTTTTATGTTCAAAGCCTGCGTCCTCTGTTTTGCTAGTCTCATGAAGCAGAAGTCTTGAAGCAGCTAGCTGAGAAGCGGGAGCATGAAAAAGAGGTGCTTCAGAAAGCAATTGAAGAAAACAACAACTTCAGCAAAATGGCAGAGGAGAAGCTGACCCACAAAATGGAAGCTAACAAAGAAAACCGCGAGGCACAAATGGCTGCTAAACTGGAACGCTTGAGGGAGAAGGTGGGTGTAGAGTCTCAGGGAGAGAGTTTATCCATGTTCCAGACTGTGAAAACAGGCTAAATAAAGCCAAGTGAATGTCCAAGTGAGGGGGGGGTGCTGTGACTAGATGGACATCCTTGGGAGTTCTGTGGTGGTATCATCTCGAAAGATGATTAAATCTGCAACAGACTTTGCAGAAATCCTCCTCTTGGGGGAGAGGGGATGGATGGAGTTAGTGCAGCATCTCCCTCTCTCTCCTAAGGCTTTGGTAGCTTGGCTGGGCTGGGGGGTGAGAAGCAAGGCAGGGCCTGCCCTGCCTCCCTGCACTGGGGCAGCTAACTGCTTCCCTGCTGTTGCCTTTCAGGACAAGCATATTGAAGAGGTTCGAAAGAACAAAGAAGGCAAAGACCCTGGTGAGGCCGAAACCGACTGACTTCATTCTGGAAACTGACTCTCTCCCCCTCCTCTAAATATCCAAAGACTGTACTGGCCAGTGGTTTTATCTTTGGTTTTGTTTTTTTTTTTAAGTTTCTAGAAACTGATGTAGAACTGTAAAATTAGATCCAAACTGTACACTTTCTTTGGGGGCTAGAGGGGAGACCTTACATGTTTCACTTTTTCTAAAGTGTTGTCTTTCCAGTGTAGCTATCTTCTTGTTGCATCCTTTTCTACTCCAGTGCGCTTGCTACTGGGTTGATGGCTAGTACTGTATCAGCTCTGTAAGACATTTGTGAAAGGAATATGTAGTATACTGTTCCATGCTGAATATCTGTTACACTTCAAAAATCTGACTGTCCCAGTCTGCTGAAATACTGCTGTAACTGAGTGACTAAATAAAGCTGCACAGTGCTGTTATCATGAGAATTACTTCTGAAAATGATGTGAGAAACGAAAGTGAGTTGGCTGAGGTCTGCAGCAGGAATCCTTGCGCGGTGCTGAGTGGAAAGGGCTGCAGCAGCACTTCTCCCTCCACCCGTGGGCATGCTGCAGGGCTGCCTTTCCCCTAGAGCACACTCATTGTCTTAATTTTACAATCAGAGCTTTGTTTTGACACCTCAGCGCTCATCAGCTGTTGTGTGTGTTTGTTAAAAAGAGTTCAGAACCACCTCCCTGTGGATGCTGACACTTGAACAAACAAGTCCTTGTTACCCCATGACTGATCTGAGCTGGTTTTTTTTGGGAAAGGGTTTCTAGAAGATGACTCGTTGCTGTTGAATGGTGACTTGTGTACCGCTTCCTGCCTCAAAGTCAGAAACCCGCTCTGTGCTGGGGTGGTGACCCTGCCCCCATTGGAAATGCTGTTGTGGATAAGAGTTATTTTTGTTTTGGTGTCTGCCGCGGCTGTGTTGGGATGGTACGCTGTGCCTCAGGGCGAGTCTGAAGATTAACTCCTGCCCACAACCAGATGTCTATCAACTTTGTTTTTTCTGGGGCGTGAGAAATAGATCTGACTGTCCTTGTGCTCTCAGGGGAGATGCTTTTTTATGTGGATTGGGTAGAGTTGCTGTATTGTACAGGTGCCTTTAAAAAAGAAAAACCTAAGGGCAGCCACAGGTACTCATGCTGAAGCTGCAGCTGGAGGGTGTGAGCAGCCCCCTAACCAGTATAAACACTGTTCTGAGCTGCTGGGTGTTTGTGAGCGTGTTCCCTCGGCGTGGGAAGCTGTGGCTTTCACAGCTGCTCCTTGCATCAAACACTCGGTGGTACCGGCCTTGGTGCAGCACACTCGGTCCTGTCCCTCCTTTTGTGTCTCTGATGTTGAGGCTTGGCTGCCAGGTTTGTCTGCAGGTTAACTCTGCATCTGGTGCTGCCCAGGTGACATGTTCTGAGGATGAAAAAAACGGTAGGGAATTATTTTTAAGGGGCTGAGTGCTGGACCACCTGACCTGTCTTCTGGGGCTTGCTAAGGAAGGAACCTCAGTTTAGAAAGCTCTTGTGTGTCACACTTAACCACTTCTGATTGCACCAGAGTTGTACTTAACCAAAAGCTGATGTTGTGCTGCTTGAATGAAGGAAGAGCAGTGAGATAAAGCCAGGCTTGATGCCCTGGAAGGCTGGAATCAGATCCTTTCCCTGAAGGACTTCCAGAAGTGTTTTTATACTTCATCATTTAAGGTAAGAAAAACTACTTGTTGGGCAGCCCCCTGCCCCCAATCTGTGGTGGGGGTATAGTGCAGGTTTGGGGTTTTAATGGCCCATATCAACTGTGTGTGAGCCGAGAGCATGAGGCAGGGGTCAGGATCCACCCGGGGAGGGGCAGAGGATGGGGGAGTAGAGCTGAACTTTGAGACAAAAGCTTGAATCCACCACATGATGCACTTGGTCTGAGAATAGAGTAAGGGGGGGGAAGTAGCACGGAGGAGGTGGTGCTCAGGCAGGAAAAAGGAAATAATAGTGTCTGATAGGGAAAGCTGGACTATAAACAGGTTGCTTTAAAAAAAAAGGCAGTGAGTGTCTCTAGTACTATGTAATGGAGGTTCAGGTGATCACTGGATCAGTTCCTGTAGACAAGAGCAGGTATAATCAGCAATCCAACCACCCCCAGCTCTTCCTTTAATGTATCTGCCTGCTGAGGAAGTGTCCCAAATTCTGTGGGGGGGTTTCCCCTATCTTTTCAGGGCGTGGGGGAGGAAAATGTCAGCACTGCCAAACCCCAAATGGCGTTGAGAGCACAAAGAGACGTTAAATGTGAGGTTTTTGACTTGCCAAAGCTGTCAGATCTCAGCTCGGGGCCTTCTGTTCCCTTGTCTTAGTTCTGCGTTATGTGGCTGCCTGTGTTAGGCTTAACTGGAGCTTAATGCCCAAGGCCTGAGCTTAGTCTGGTTCCTCTGAGGGCTGCTGGGGGGAAATGGAAGTTTTAGGGGGTGGGAATGAGATTGGGGGATGTGAATAGGGAGAGGATGGTAATGATCTGAGAATGGAGTAAGGGGGTGGGGGGAAGTAGCACGGAGGAGGTGGTGCTCTGGCAGGAAAAAGGAAATAATAGTCTGATAGGGAAAGCTGGACTATAAACAGGTTGCTTTAAGAAAAAAAAAAGAGAGAGAAAGCGGTGGAGTTGTATTTCCTAGGCTAGACAGCCCGCCAGGCGGTAGCAAGTGACAATCGCAAGCGGTGTGACGGGTGTGGTGAGGGGAGAAGTGGCGATTCCACCCCGCTCGCGGGTGGCCGCGGGCTGCGCTGTGGGGGCCAGAAACCGGGAGCTTTACTCGCCCTCCTGTCCGTGACGGGTCCCCGCTGAGGAGAGGAGCCTGGGCCCCGGCAGAGGGGAGCAGCTGCCCCCCGGACCCGGGGGAGCCTGGGGGTGAGCGGGCACGGAGGGCTCCCCGGTGCAGGGGGGGGGACACGGGACAATGCGGCAGCTGTCGTGGGGAGCAGAGCTTTGGGGGCACCGAGGGGGGCTCCCCGGGGCCGGGTGGGGGTGTCCTGGGGGGCGGCTGGGGCATTGGGAGGGGAGATCCTGCTGACCTTGACCTCCAGCTGCACCCCCATTCTGAAGGAACACCCCCTCGGGGGGAAAAAAACCTTCCCAGAATGGGGGGGATCAATCCCCTGCTGCCCCTGAAAGGGGTTTGGGCAGGGGTGGAGGGAGAGGCTTCCCCGAGGCTGGAGCTTGGCCACCAAAAACCTACTCGGTTTGCCCATCCTGGGGGCTGGGTGAGCCTGTGCTGAGAGAAACCAACCGATCACGACTTTAAAAACTCCGTATTTGTGCATTAGAAGCCTAAATACAGTTGTACGCAGGAAGCACGGGCATGTAAACAGCTGGGGGCTGAGTCTGTATCATTAAGTAAAAATTCAGCAGGGTGGGTGGATGCTGCTGGAGAAAGGAAATGCTCTGCAGGATATACCAGGCAACGTCACGGACATCTCGGAGGTATGTGGAGGGTGTTCTTCAGACAACGAGCCAGGTGAATGATTTCCAGCGCCGCGCAGGATGTGCTCCGTCCGTAACCCAGCATTGCTCAAGGCTTCGTAGCTAGGAAGAGCTTTGCAAATTAAGTCCTGCTCCAACAGGTTTTGGAGGACCCGAGGTAAACACCGCTCCCTCTCCCGCCTCGTGCTCGGCTGCTCTGAACGTGGCTTTTCCCGTTGCTTTTGCCACAGCATCTCCCTGAGCAGCCCTGGGGGTGCCTCGCCCGGAGGATTTTGTCTTCTGGCAGCAGTGACAGGGTCAGGTGGGTTCTGGAGCTGAGCCCCCTCCCAGGCATCCTCGTGGGCAGCCCTGGTGCAGAGGTAAGTTCTCTGGGTGGCGCAAGGGTAACGTTTTCTTCCAAACTTCCTGTTGAATTTTGGTCAAAATAGCTTAATATGGCAAGTTCTGCTTTTGCCCCCACCTCCCCAGCAGGACTCGAGGCTGTTTCAGTTCAGCGCAGTAGCTGCAAGTCTGGAAAAGTTTTATGAAGTTAATTTTTCACTGGCAGCCTGCGCACGTTGCAGTGTTACAGGAGGGTTTAGGAGGCCAGGCGAGGGTCAGGATTGCCCTCTGCGAGGTGCTGCCCCCAGCCAGGCTGCTTGTTTTTGATGTGGAGCCTCTTTAACCAGGCGAGGGGGGAAAAGAGCATCCAACAGTCTGTTTTTATCTGCATTTGTGCTCCTCAGCTTTGGGCAGGCGGGAGTTACACAGACCCATCTACTCCATTTTGATGAGGAAATTACAGAGATTTTTAAAATAAACAGTCCCATCCTCTCCTCCTCCCATTCCCAAACTTTGAAGGGTTTTTCCTGTCTGAGCTGTCCCTGAAATGACTGCACTTGCCAGGAGTTGAGGCGTAAATCAGCGCTGGAGTTGGACAGGAATCAGGCTGATTTCTTCAGAACTTGTCTGAGCAAGAACAGGTAAAGAGGGGGAGGAAATCTCCTTTCGAGTATGTTCTGTTCAATATGTTTTTAAGGCTGTCGTGAGAAGGCAGGAGGCGGCAGCAAGCCTGTCTTTATCTCACAAAGGACAGCAGCTTCAAAAATGTAAATATGGAAATGCTTGCTCTCAAAGATTACGCTGTTGGACCTCAGTGATGCAACAGGGTGAACTCACTCGAGCTGTGTTGGTTTTGTGCAAAGCCGCATGGAAAATCAGGAGCTGAAAAAAAGATGGTCAAAACTCTAAACGCAGAAGTTACATCTTCTGTTACTGGTGTTTTACGTTCCTGGGTGCACCCCTGGTGAGGCAGAGCAGGTTGTCCCACCGCTCGTTGTTATTTGTACAGACAGATGCTGCAAACAGGCTACAAAGAGGAAAATTTGGGCCGCTCCTAGAGCAGAAAGTTTGTTGGGGGTGTTTAGTTTGTTTAGCAGTTCCCAGACTGCTGGGAAGAGGTGAGCTAGGAACTGATGCATCCTGGTGTGTTAATTATTGTGTTAATTAACCCTGTACTGGTGTCTTCTACCTCCGTACTCCTTCAGACAGTCTGTCACCTCTGCAACATGGGGCACTCCAGGGGTTCTTAAATCTCCCTTCAGCCTCCTTCCCATGACTGTTTTTGGTAATTCTTTTATTTCAGCTATGAGGCCATTCTCCAGTCATGCATGATTTTATGTATCTGGGAAAAAACCCCAGAGCATTCAAATGGCCTCTGCTTGTTGATTTTTTTTTTTTTTTGGTTTGTTTGTTTGGTTTTTTTGTTAAACCCTGCAGCAAAACTTTCCTTCCCAAAGGTCATTCTGCACGGCAGGGACCCAGAGTTCAGCTGCATCATGGCAACAGTTGTCACCGAAAAGCTCAGCCGCCTCTTCATTAACGTGCGGCAGGTCCCTGCGCTGCTGGTCCCCCTCTCTCCCTCCACGGTCAGCAGTTCGGAGGTGCCAAAGGTTTTCTGGAAGCCCTACATCCACACTGGCTACCGGCCCGTGCAGCAGACCTGGCGTTACTACTTCTCGACACTATTCCAGCAGCACAACGAAGCCATCAACGTCTGGACCCATCTGGTGGCAGCGCTGATCCTGCTGCTGCGGTTCCAGCAGCTCTCACAGCAGGTGGATTTTGGGCAGGACCCGCACGCCCAACCCCTCCTCATCATCATTGCGGCGTCCATCACCTACCTGACGTTCAGCACCCTCGCTCACCTTCTGCAGGCTAAATCTGAGTTCTGGCACTACAGCTTCTTCTTCATGGACTACGTGGGGGTCGCCATTTACCAGTACGGCAGCGCCCTGGGACACTACTACTACACCATCGAGCCAAGCTGGCATGAGAAAATCAAGGGGTTTTACATGCCGGTGGCTGTCCTGTTAGCGTGGCTGTCCTGTGCCGGTTCCTGCTACGCCAAGTACCAGTACCACCAGTCTGCTCACCTCCTGAGCCGGCTCTGCCAGGAGCTGCCCTCCGGCCTGGCTTATGTGCTGGACATCAGCCCCGTGGTCCACCGCATCTACACCGCCCGGCCCTCCGAGCAGGCTGACCCGGCCCTTCTCTATCACAAATGCCAGGTGTTGTTTTTCCTCATTGGTGCCTTCTTTTTCTCGCACCCTTACCCCGAGAAGTGGTTCCCTGGGAAATGTCACTTTTTCGGGCAGAGCCATCAGATTTTTCACGTGTGCCTGGTGCTCTGCACGCTGGCGCAGATCGAGGCGGTGGTGTTGGACTACGAGTCCAGGCGACAGATCTATTCCTCTCTCCAGGGTGATTTGGCACACAACTTCTCTGCCCTGTGCCTCTTCACTGTGACCTGCTCTGTCCTCACAGCCGCTTACATGGCCCAGAAGGTGAAGAACAAGCTGAGTTTCAAAGAAGAGTAAGAGCCTTGAAGGAGAAGCAGGTGAACTCACCCAAAGTGCTTATCTGCAGCCAGCTGGGGCGGTGCCAGCATGAACCTGGCCACAAACCTAGAGAAGAGGAATGAAACGCTTTGTGAACTGTTAAAGCAGCAGTGTTCTCTGTAGGGAGGGAAAGGAAGAGCTGCTTTTTATGCTTTTTTTAAATTCGGTATTGGTTCCAGCTTGCTCTTAAAATGGCACACCGGTTTAATTCACGTTTGAATAAACAGTTGGAACAAAATGTCGTTAGTGCTGCAGCCCGGTACCCGAACAGTGGGGGGCTGGGAAGGGTTTCCGCAAAAGGTAGGGGGCTGCCATCCAGCCCCTGGTTAGGGGTGGCAGAATCTAACCCATGGCTAAGGTGAGCTTGTATAAACCACAAGTTTAATAACATCTCAAGCCCTTTTTGTACAGCTTAGGGAGTTGCAGAGAGCTCTTGGCGCAGTGACAGAGCCCTGTGCCTTACCTGGGGGGTGCAGCCGGAGGCAGCAGGTGGTTGGGGTTGGTGTGGGGGAGGCCGAGCCCCAGGGCACTGACAGGGACCTCCCGGCCCTGCGCAGAGTGGCGATGGGGCCCCGGTGCGGTGGCTGTGGTGGTTTGAGCTGAGCATCAGGGCAGGGAGCTGCAGGGCCTGGGGCTCGTAAAGACAAAGCGAGAGGGGCTGGGGGGTGTCTGGGCACGAGCCGCGCTGGGGCAGGACCGGGGAAGGCCCCGCTGGGATGTGGTCTGTGGAACCCCCGCCTGCTGCTCGGGGAGCCGCCCGCCGCCATCGCGTCCCCTCAGCG